GAATCAAAATGATAAGTATGAATTTAAGCAGGGACCAACTTTACAATCATGAATGCTTAAGGGAACTAGCAGTTTTGTCCCCTTCTTTGGAGAATTTCTGGTTTTATTGTTTCTCTAAAAAAGAACAACAAAAAACTGGCTTTGTCTTTCCCTTCTTTTACTTAGCATGAGTATTTTGCCTTGTGCCAAATGGTAGAGAGAGAGATATATATATCTCTCTGTAGAGATATATATATATATATATTCATTCATTCTTATGTACAGATTTTAAAAATAAACACTTGCATCTTGGAAAGAACTGATCATCCTCTTCTCTTCCTTCTCCCTCCCTCACACCCTTCCCATCAAGAAAAAAAAAAAAAAGAAGAAAAAGGAAATCACACCCTTAGCCATCTTGCCCCACTAAGGTAAGCAGTGGGTATTCAGAGGCAATCTGATGGAGGCTATGAGAGTTAAAGCAGAAGTATTGGCAGGAAGTCAGCTCCCATCTCTGCAGGTTTGGAGCTGGTGGAAGTCACTTCACTGAGGTGTTCGGCCTATGGGAGAAAGAGCCTCCTTTCCTCCACCTCAGCAGGTCCCTCTGTGGTTGAGCCGACTGGAAAAGACAATCTAGGGGTCAGAGGGGCCGCTGACACCAGAGCGTGAAGGGCTGGAGCACCTGCGGGGACAATCTCACGGGCAGCGGGAGGAAGGCTGCCCGGTGCTGGGTGGCCTGAGTCAGACCGAGTTTGTGCGGCTGAAAAGTTGGAAGGAGAGCTAAGACAGAGGGAGCAGACATCAGTGGAATCTCTTAAGAGCACTTGGAGAGCAGTCAGATTCCTGAGCATAAGAGATGGGCCGAGAAGGGAGCGGGCCTGGAGCTTCGGTTTCAGAGGGCTTTAGTTCTCTTTTGGTAACTGAGGTTGGGGTGATAGTGAGGGACAAGGTGTTGACTCAGGAGGGAGTCGTGTGGGTGCTTATGGCATTCTTGGCTTTCGTTTGGAAAACGATGATGTATCGTGAAGACGTGAGCGTGAGAACCTTCACCTCCTTCCCCTCCCACCTCACCGAGTAAGAGCTTCCTTTTGAGCACTTGGAAATAGTCCCTTTGTTATCTTCAATAATTAAAGCTGCCCCTGGATTCAACCAGCTCTAAAAAAGAAATAATTTAAATTACTTTTCTGTAAGTAGGTCGTGATGGATAGGAATGTGTAAACTTCAGTTTAACCTTTTCGCATCTCTGTTGACCGGGTCAGTGTGTCGCTTCTTCCCTCCGAGCTCACCTCTTTAAAAACGTGGTTCGTTCCTTGGAAGAGTTGGTAACGATATGCCTTTAGACTTGTGGGGAGGTAGAAGGAACCCCAGCTCTGCTGCTGCTCCTCTTACATTTCTTAAAGGGATGCAGCAAAGCAGCGGCCGCTGTGGGCGAGCGTTCGGGATTGCACCCGCGCACCCACGGGAGGGAGAGGGGTGGGAGGGTGCCCGGTCCCAGTGGGGTCAGAAGACCAGAAGAGGCCTTGGCAAGTCCAACTCTGTAGGCAGTTACTTAGGTGAATGAGAGAAATAAGCAGCAGTCTTGGGAGCAGTGGTTAAAATGGGCTTTTGTACAGAAATCAGAGGTGGCTGGTGTGCAGTCTCCCCCTTTCCCCAAATCAGATATTCACTTAGGTGGAATCGACTGTATCTTTTTACACAACATAGAGAAAAAAAACAGATACGTGAAACAGTGAGGTGTGTAGATGTATCACCAACACATAATGACTACCAACAATACAACACGCAGAGAGAGAAACAAGTATTAGGAAAATGGTTTAATATTGGAGACAGAAGCAAAAAACTGCATCACACAATAACATACGTTACAAAAATAAGTTTGACTGTCTCAACTACACGGTTATGTTCACAATGAGGACAGAAGAATCAGAAGAAACTTCGATCTAAACAGCAAAAAAGCAAACCCCTAAAGTTGTAACTAATACATTTATCCACTTAAAGTGACTGAGTACTTCTAAATCTAATTACCTTATTGTGTAACTGCACAATACAGAATAAAAAGTGAAACTTACCGCTGTATTTTAAGACAAAATTCTAATGCTAGATATAAGCAAAGGGAAAAAAGAAATCAAGCCAAAGTTTTTAATTCTCAAAAGAAAAGCAACTTTCTTTCTATCCGTCAGAAATCAAACTTGAAATCAGTCATTGTCAGGGGGCCCACTAGAGTAAGCCACAAAAATTTCCATTTTTTTTTTAATCTCCAGTATAAAAAGTTCCACTGGTACAAAATGCGTAAGTACAATCAGTTGTAGAAATAGGAAAGCCTGCGTATTTTTTTTTTTTTTGGCTCAAATTCCATCAAACAACAAAACCAAATGCATCAATAAAACAAACAATACTCAAATGGTCTTACAGTTTCCACTAGGTTGCATTAACTTTGGCTTTTCTCAGACAATATTTAAAAACTATTTTGTAATTCTAAACAAAATGATACTATTAATCTACAAACAATTCTCACAGCACAAAAAAACACAAATACATTTTTTGTATGACATTATTCAAAAAGGTAATGAAACTACAGGTTTTTTTAAAATTTTATTTCTTCTTGTTAATTAGCACTTAAGATAATAAAAACAAACAGTAAAATGAGTCCAGAGTAGCACAAGCCAAAGAACTATAACCCCTATGGTGAAAGAAAGATGAACTTGTTACGCCTTTGAGGACTGCCATTTTATCACAATTCTCTAATTTAGTGTAAAAACGACTATTCTCTACACTTGATTTAAAAAAAAGCAGTTTCCCTGTGTGTTTTTCCTTCTGGCACAGGCCCTTTGCACCCTTGCAGCTTTTTTTCCTTTTGATATTAAAAGATAAAGTGAGTAAAAGGACAATTTGTCTCTGAGGAGGGTCAGCTTTTAAACAATGCAAACATGCAAAAAAAAAACAAAAAACCAAAAACCAAAAACCAAAACCCCAAAAAAACAAAAACCCCGACTTTCCCCCCAACATGTACTGTTTTGGTTACCTGCAAAATAAGAAACACCCAATATGAAATGCCCATCCTGTGCCTCTTGTCACCGGCACTCAGGCTCCTCTTGGGGAGATGCGGGTGAGTGAGAGGAGGACAGCTGGAAATCAGATGGTGTTCTCTTGTGTGCTGCGCGTCCACAAACCACCCTATGCTGTGTGTGAGAGATGTGCGTGGACTCCTGGCATTAAGCTGATGGCTGCAGGAAGTACAAAATAGCCCTCAAAGGATGAAGGAAGGCCCCAGCAGTAGTAAACACGTGTGAGGATAATACAAATCATTTCATTGTAAGTGCATGTGCTATAAGAAGGAAACTTGTTTTGTGTTTAGTTTTTGTGTCTTTTTTTTTTTTTTTTTTTTTTTTTGGTTTTTTTTTTTTGTGTGTTTTTTTTTGCATCATTAGAGGCTAGTCCTTTCCATCCCAGGGCTATCACATCCATACACGTATTACTGAACAGAGTAGTGAGTGGGAGGAGGAGGAGGAAGGAAAGGGAGCCAGCAGTTTCTGAACTCCTTTAGAGATAAAGAAGCTTCCAGGGCCTGCTTTCAAGAAGGCAGGAGTTTGTGTTGGGGCTTCCGGGATGACACTGGGGTTTGTCAAGATAGCAAGAGATCTGTTCAACGTGAAGTCGAAGTCAAAGTAATATGGCACTTCACAGAGTGGCAGCAGGATCTGGTGCTAGTGCTAGGTATTTGGTCAGTAACTGTGACAAAGAACAGAGTTGGACTTAGATGGTCAGGCCCCTTTCAGTGATTTCAATTAATAAAGTTAATAAAAAGGCAGGAAAAGAAAGGACTATCATCTTCTAACCCCAGACACCTTGCTTAATCAGAAGTATCTCCTGGGATCAGAGAATGCCCAGCACAGTGGCTGATTAGAAACATCATTAACTGAGAGTATTTAAGAAACAAAATCCCTCAAAACACTACTTCATCACAAAGTCTTTTAACTGGAAGGTATATGAAAATATTCTGAACTAGAACATACCCCTACACCTGATCTCAAAAGCATATAGAATTTAAGGTTAATGTAGGTGCTCAGTCTACCTAATGTCCCCCTTAGAAGTTTTATTCAATCAACTGTTTTTAATTAAAACCAGAGAAGGAATTTCAACAGCACATTCTTTTTTTTTAAATGACCAGAAATAATCAAAACTAAAAGAAAAAAAAAAGTGGTGTAGGGAGAAAAACAAAAAACAGAGATGGTGAAAATATATTTTTTTCCCTTCGGATTTGCTTTGTGGAGTTTTGTTTCTTTTGGATCTCAACCAATAGGTTAAAAAGGTAAGAAAGACAAAAAAAAAAAATTAAAAAAAAAAACCCAAAACCTCAAAGATGTATGGGGGGGAGGGGAGAGGGATCCAAATTAGAAACACCCTGGAACAAACAAAAATGACAATGGTATAAAAAGTTACCAACGCTCCAGACAGCTCTGGGTAGAAAGGGTTAGAAGTTCAAAACTTTCTCACCTTAGAGGTTTCCATATATTATGAAGGAAATACATCGTGAGGTTGCCGTCACAGCATTGATGTGCAGAGCGGTTAAAAAAGTGAGACATGGGCACTTATACAATGTCTTACAAAAAACATCATAGAGAAATAACAAACAATAACAATTTCAGGCAACAAGACCACAGGATAGCAAGTTAACAAACTTTTTAACCTCTTTTTTTTGTTGTTTTTTGTTTTTTAAATATTAGGGATTTATACAAAACACATAATAAAATACCCATGTTATCAAATTACTTCTCACAAGAAACACACTGAAGCTCTAGGAAGGAAGTACCTTTGGAATTTGGCACTATATATTTTCACTTTTTTTCTTTAAAAGAAAAAAAAATCACATTTTGCTGAACACAACACATCTAAATAGTCCACAATAAAAAAAAAAAATGACATCAATGCTTTACAAGCCAACACAAAACTTATTCTGGAATAGGGTTTTTTTTTTTTTTTTCCCCTCACATGAAATTTTTTTTTTTTAAGCAAACTTTTTTTTTAATTCTTTAAGTAAACCAATTCTAAACTTGTCTTATCAACAGAGAACATTAAGACCATAAGACTCATGATTGAAACCACAACTTAATTCACAGAAGCACCAACATAACACAGTTTACAGTAACCTTTCTCCTGTACATTGAAACAGTATAAAATATAGGTAATTTCATGTGCATTAAACCATGGATTGTCTAACTGTGAGTCAGTTCAGCAAAAGGTGACACAAATAGGTAGCATTTGCCCCAAAACAGGGTAAATATTTTTCTTATACTAATCTACAAAAAGTGGTTCTATATATATATCTTAATGAGAAAGTGAGCCACCTAAAATGGCCTTATCAAAAAACTTTACACTGCCTGAAAAATGTAAAAACTATTACAGACCTCTAGAGACTTAAAATCAGACAGTTTTTTTCTCAAACTGTTTTTGGAAGTAGTCTGTTAGAAACCAACATTCTGTGTCCCTGGACACATATTGCTATTGTTACCAGTGACCGGGAAGAATGCCAATCCCTGTATAATACTTTCAAGTCTGTTTTATGAAAAGAAAAAAAAAATAAGAAAGAAACGTTTTTGCCACAGGTTTTTTTTCTATAATTAATTTGTCTAATAATAAATTTCAGTCTTGCATGAATGCAGCAATGTTTTTCACATTGACTTCCCAGAATTCATAGCTAGATGAGGTCACATGCAAATTTCAAAGGTCAAACTAGATCAAAGGTCAGTAGGAGAACCAAATGTGATGTGAGGTCAGAAAGACATCAGAAACAATGACGGGACGATGAAACTTTTTTTTGAGACGCCACAGGGACATGCTAGGCAAACGGTGAACTAACGGGCATGAAGATGTCTAGGGAGAAAACAAGGGAGAGTAAAAAGTTACACAGAATCTACGCAGCAGCAACAAAATCACTCTTAAGGGTGCAGGAGAAAAACTAATGCAAATCTTAGGTCATCAGGGAGTCTACGAGCCATTCCCGTAATTTGCATTTCTTACGATATTTATCCACAGCACAATGGAACCCCAAGAGAATCCATCCGGAGGAGGAGAGGGGATGGATTCCGGGAGTTTTGGGGTGGGGGCTGGGGAGGGACAAGGCGGGGGGGGGGGGGGGGGAGGATCCAGTTTCAACGGATGTGACATATGGGGGAGAGTCAGACGACCGAACTATAAACTAGATAGATCATGGAAGCTACGAACAAAATCGTCAGACAGATACAAACAACAAGAGGGAAAAGCATGAACTGTAGGCCTAGGGTTCAACGGTGAAAAAAAGCCCATTCCTAGAACGATTCCTCTAGAGACTACTTCAAAAGGCTCTAGCTAGCACAGAGAACTGCTCTTTAGGTACCCAATAAGTTAACAATAGGCAATAAATAACTTCCATTATTTCTGAGGCAGTAAAAATTTTGTACAAAAATAGAAATGCTTTTTTTACAAATAAAATTTACAGGCCTGTGGCTTTCTTTTTTATTTATGTATTTATGTATTATTTATTTATTATTAAATTTATCTTTCAAGAAACATCAAGTATTTTCACTCATTTTTATTTTATTTTTAAACCCTGTAGCTTTAAGAAACAGATCTCTAAATCTTTTTTTTACATTAATCCTTTCTAAAAACTAAAATAAAACAATAACAAAATAGACAACCAGTGTAATAATCTGACCGATAAATGTCATGTTTCTTTGAACCCTAAAATAATATCCTACTTGTTAAAACAAACCAAATGTAGTGGAAAGACGTTTGTATTGTTTTAAGTGCTTCTCCTGGCTTCTCTCTCGTGCTATGCCACCACCTTAACCTCTAAACGGTTGGCGCCCTCCTAGGGGGTGGGCGCGGACAGGAGGGGTGAATTCTCCAGGCAGTGCTCTGGGGCACCAGGGGTCTCAGAGTTAGAATTGCACGTTAGCCTTTGTTTGCCTTTTTTAAACTCTCAAGATGTCATTTATTCATGTGTGTTTTTCTTTAAAAAAAAAAAAAAAAAAAAAAGCCAAAAAATGAGAACAAAACAGAAAAGGTAAAAGGAGATTCAAATTGCAAAACAAAGGAAAATACAGTGGCACAACTGGAAGAGGAGTTTTACTCGATAGAAACAAGGTAGCCCAAGTTTTTAATTATGGCGAACTGGGTGGGGGCATGGGGAGGGGACATGGAGGCCTTATTGTAAAAATAACCGTCTCTCTTGGTAAAAGTTGGCAATGTGGTCCTCCTCTGCCTTTCCTGTTGAGAACAGGCTGGCTTGTGGGACTTACCCTAAGAAAGCTAAAATAAGAGCAGGGAGCCTCTGGGGTTGGGATCAGTAAGGTTTGCTGTCGTTCTTGGAGCGCTTCAGCTGGACCTTCAAGCGTTTCATGCCAATCTGAAAGCCGTTCATAGCCTGGATAGCAGCTTGTGCGGACACCGGATTGTCGTAGCTAACAAAGCCTGGAAGACACGAGGGGAAGGATCATGAGAGCAAACCCCTCCTCTGTGAAAAGCACAATCTCAGACTCTCAGACTCCTGGTCTGTTTACTGATCTCAGGTCTGTTTGTGTTGGAACCCTTCTGACAAAACCCCTGGCGCCTAAGTAAGTGTTCCCAGAGGCGGAGGCATAGATACTCTGGGGCTCGCGGGGTCCCCAGGGGCTCGCGGGTCCCAATCAGGTGCAGTTTAAATGCAGGGCTGGCAACCGCCCACTGCAGTGACGCGGCCTCTCATTCCAGTTCTCCACCTGCACGCACACAGCCCACACCTGCTCGACTGTCGGATGGGTCCGTTAGGGAATTAACTCTAGGGTATTTGTACTTGATTTTTAACACTGTGGAATTCTGAGAGGGACCTAGGGACCCAAGGGAAATGCTGGCCCTTTCTCGTTATATCAACTTCCATTTTCAAAGTGCCACTGCATTCAGCAGGCTGGAAACTGCTACCTGATACCCCCCTAGAATAAAGAGTCTGAACACCTTAGGGATTAAGAGCCACCCTCACGGACTTCCCAGTACCTTTCTCTGTACTGACACCGCCAAAATGGCAGGGAGCGCATGCTTTTGAGAAAGAGCAGTGACGGTCTGCAAAGACCCAGAAACAGAATTCTGATTGCAGAGTCTGCTCTAACCTGGGGGTGGGGGTGGGAGGGGACACACAGCTTTCTGCAGTTAATGCCCATGTTTAGGGGTTGAGCTTGGGCTGTCCCTACTTCTGGTGTTGAAAGGAAGCGATTACACTGGGTGAATTTCCCTTCTCGACATCAACTGTTCAGAAGGTTCTATACTAAGCTGCTTCACCTATCTGCTAAAGAGCAAATCCTTTACAAACTAGAGGAAGAAAAGGACATCAGTATATCTTTAGCAGAGTTCTCAGCTGATAAAAATGAGCGTATGGTATAATGCAGAAAAGCTTTCCGTCGGCAGGCTGAAATGCAAAACGGTGGAGCAGATATTTACTAAATCTAATTCCCAGTGTGTGTTCTCGAATCCAAGATTTGGGCTCTGATTTTCTCCTTTCCTTCTAGGTCTTTATCCAGAAGCAGCAAGATGATTAAAGAATGGAAATGGGTCAAGGGTGAAATGGATAACGAAACCTGTCCAGGAGGTGAGCATGAAGGAATGGGCTACCTAAGACTCGCAAATCTGGGACCCCCCCCCCCCAACCGCCCAAATTAGGTCGGCTCACTGAGAAATGTAGGTTGGGGATGCTGCAGCTTTTGATAAAAACGGAAAACAGCGCAGAGTACGAAATACAGTTGCCGACATTCTTGGGTGCAGCCTGCATTATTACACTTGGAGGAGTGGTGTGTGGACCGATATCATCTCTTTTCAAGGCACTAAGTATTTTTCTCAAAATCAGACCCTGAAGCACAGCCCCTTTCCAATCTCCAGATAAGCCCAGGGCATTGCTTAGTGATGAGGAGTAAAAGTCTGGCCCAGAACCTCGCGCAGGGCAGCTCGGCATGGTAAGCTCCCACCGAGTGCACACCCCCACCCCCCGGGGTTCAGCTCCCTTTCCATTTCACTCGTTGGTGAACCATCACGGGGCGGGGGGGGGGGGGAGTATGCACTTGTCATAGCAGTGACAGTGGAGACAGCCTTTCCAGTTGGGTAAAAACAGTGACTTTCAGTGGCGGACATACTAATTCCCCTAACAATAGAGGCTTCAGACCTTCCTGGGTGATGGCACAGAGATTAGAAAGACATGACGATAATGGGGTTTTAGAAGCCAAAACATTCTCTCTACACCCAGTGCCCATTACCAGTAGCCAGATGCTATGTTTGAGTACCATTCCTACCACCTTTGATGTTTTTCTCCACCGCATTTAGTTCTCTTTGTCCTTCCTCCGGTCCGCATCTGTTGCACTGTTTTGTGCTGTTACGGCCTACCACCTACATGAATTACTAGATTGGAGGAAGGAGGAAGGCATATGTTCGAGCTCAGACTGGCCCAGAACTTGCCAGGCAGGTAATCTATAATCTGAACAGTCTAGCCTCTAAACCACTTTGGAGACTAAAGGGGTTCAAAAAGCAAAACAAGAAATAGATTTAACGAATGCTCTGTGCGCCTGCTTCTAAAACATGAGGGCAAGCGGAGAGTGTGCCTTCCCGGGGAGCACAGACTGCCTCAGGAGGCAGAGTCCGGGCTGTGTGAGGAGAGAGGGCATGACAGCCCAGGCCACCGAGGAGCTGGGTTTTTCCAGTGTTCTCTGAATGCCTGCATTTCCTGGGCTCTGCGTCCACTCGGGCAGGCTGTGCAGAGCCCATCAGCCCAAATCCCGGCTCCCGAATCAGCATAACACAGCATTCCACGGGCCCGTGACAGACACCAGCTCCCTGTCCTGTGCTCCAGGTAGGGGGGTATCTGCAGTGCTGAGGGTGGCCTGGCTACACCCCTGCTGTGAAGGGACGGGTCTCACTGAAGGTGTGTGAGAGTGCGGGCAGCCTCCCCATACAACGTGCTACCGGATTCCACAAATGCCTGACGCCTCCCGAACCTAGAAGGCTACGGCATCCGTGGCAAAGTGTCTACAGTGCCGCCCTGTAGCAGGGCAGCCCAAACCACCTCCATCTGTTGGCTGTATTTCCACCTGCTCAGGTTTGTGGTTCCAGCTGTGGGGCCTGAAGAAACCACCGTTGCTCTCTAGTGAGAGAGAACCGGACGCGCGTAGTCTGACACTAGTAGCACAGCACACGACGTTACCTAACGCGCGGGCATTTACTGTCGTTTCCCAGATGCTTCCTTAATATAGCCCCTTCCTCTGCTTTGGATTAAATGACTTTGCCCGATCTGCTACATGGATCCAAAAAGCCAAGAAACAGCACCACCCAGGGAAGGCCCTATCTGGACTTCTCGAATATTTGCCATTTACGTTTTCCTTCCCGTGCCTCCTCACGTGGGAATTTACTGTAACATTCTGGCTTGGTTTCTTTTGCATACCAAAGCACTTGCTCAGATTGGTCTGTTTGTCAATGAAGACTTTAGCAGAGATAACATTTCCAAAAGGCATGAACATCTGCAGAATGTCCTGGTCTCCAAACTCCTGTGGAAGGTGGTAAATAAAGAGGTTTGCACCCTCTGGACCTAAAGAGGAAAAAAAAATCAGAGTAAGGTATTCTTCGCTTCTTAGTTCCCAAGGCCTCTTCTTAGGACTGCTTTAATATCAGACAGGCTAAGCATTGCCTCTCTCTCTCATACTAGAAGGGAAGGAGGTAGATGGGTAAATGTCAAGTGCTGGGATGTCTTTCAAGACAGGAATCATCCCTCAGATGTTCCTGATTTCCATAGACACTGGTCAGCAACAGGGTCTTTTCAGGGATCATCTTCTGTGGCTCACATTTGCTTAGTGTCCGTATTTTCAGGGTCTTCTTCATGGGGGTGAGGGTGGCCCCCGTGGGGTAGAGGTGGGAAGGAGAATGCAGGAATGGGTTTTTCCCGGGTGGCCGTGTTTTGTGGTATGTGTATATACAACCTCTTGGAGCTGAGAGTATCCTGCGTATTCTAGCAAACGGTAGCAATTTAGAATAATGGGTATAGCAGTAATGTTGCTTGGATTTCTCAATCATTTACCTAATTATCCATCCAGTTTTGATTTGCCAAATCTCTTAACACACAGTCTAATAATCATTTTTATTAGAAATGACTGGCAGGGAGTCAAGGCAGGAAAAAGTAGGTAGTTAGAGTTTCACAGCTGTGAAAGGAATTATACCCCTGGGGATTAGCCTTGGAAATGAACGCATGAGGTACAGAAGCTAGTGAGAGACCAGGCTCAGCCATCCCCTTCCAGAGAAGGAGGAAGAAAGGGCAGAGTACGGAAGGTCCTCTTAGCTACACTGGTTAGAGAGGTCAGCTCTCCTCCTCGTCTGCCCGTCTCATTCCCCTCTCTCTAGCCACCTGCACGGAGCCCTCTCAAGGTGAAAAGGAGGGAATCGGAATGACCTGATGTGAGGTGATCCTCCAACTTGCCAGGTCCGAGGCTGCCTGGGGTCGTTACAGATCTTCCCCCCACCGCTGGCCTGGGGAGGCCCCAGGGCTGGACGTTCAGAGTTCTGGGAGGGAAGGGGGCTCCCCAAACTGGTGAAGCAGCCTTGGCAGCGGACTCCTGCACCCTAAACTGGCCCCCGGGGGAGGAGCCAGGGCAGCCCAGGGAGCACCTGCACGGCGGTCCTGCGGGGCCAGGCTTGGTGGCTAATATTTGGGTCTAAGAAGAGGAAAGCTAGGGTAAGAACTTTGTAAAAATAAAAGAGAGGAAGCATCTTTGTAAAAAAGAGTCAAACCAAGTTTCTTCCCACAAACGTGTGGGACTTTTCCTGAGGAGGTCTTCTGGTGGCAAGCTTCTGAAGCGACGGAAGTGAAGCATTTCTTGGTCAACCTGACCACTTTAACTCTGTGTGTTGCTCACAATTCCCACGGACATACCCACATTCTGTGCCAAGGAGGCAGTCTGTAATTCAAGGGACACAGTTGCAGGTCTTAGGTCCCCAAATGTTTCCTGGTTTAAAAAAATTCTTAAGGGGCGCCTGGGTGGCTCAGTGGGTTAAGCCTCTGCCTTCAGCTCAGGTCATGATCTCAGGGTCTGGGATCGAGCCCCACGTCAGGCTCTCTGCTCGCTAGGGAGCCTGCTTCCTCCTCTCTCTCTCTGCCTGCCTCTCTGCCTACTTGTGATCTCTGTCTGTCAAAAATAAACTCTTTTAAAAAAAATTCTTAAAAAATCAATACTTAATATGAACAGGTGCAAAACCAAAACACTGGAAAGGGTTGTACAGAGCCCACTGGGCCAGTCCCGGCTTCCGCAGTATGTACCGGGCAAATCTGGCACCATCCAGATTGCATGTTCCTTCTCAATAAAAGATCCACATGTACAAATGAGGATTTATGGGACCCACTCTCAACTCCTGCAGCCTGGGGAGAAAATGCAATTTAATGCACTCTGTCAGATTACTGGCTACACCTGGATAGTCCTCGTATTCTGGAATGCCGTACGTTCCGACTGTATCTGTGCCACATAGGGGGGGCCAAGAAAATAGGAAAAAGGTCAATCTAAGGAGACTCTGTCCTTTGTTCACCATTTTCTCAGGTAAAGTGCCACCAGCATCTCCTAGCGTAGACCTCCGAGTTTTCATCACACAGAAAGAGTATGATTTTGCAAACTGCCAAAATTGTGAACACTAAAATGAGAAAAAGGTGACTCGATGTGGAAAACCTCTCTTCTGTGCAATGAAGGCGGCTGTTGCAACAGACACCAAGGGTAGAAACACAAGAACACGTTTTTGAGGGGTCCACCTACGTATCCACCTCAGCCTTCCCTTTAGTAAGAACCTGCTGACAAATCATGCATTCCTCGGATCTCTCCCAGTACCTGTCATTTTAACTTACTGGAGTTCTCTGTTAGAGTGTTGGTCCCAGCTGGCTGGGTGCTCCCATTTCCTATTTTTCATAGGGCACCAGGTCTAGCATAGAGTACTGGGGTATCTGTGGCCAGTGGCCAGCACCTCCCCTCCCCCCCACTGCTTGGTGGCCTTCCTGAGGCTCTGCCTACTTGTGTGTGCGTGACTGCCTCCCGCAAATCAATTAGAGGTCAGAGGCTATTCAGGAAAGGTGGTCAGCTTTTCTGGATTGAGGTCAATAGGGATGCCATAACCCTTCAGAAGCTTTAGCTGGGGAACGTATCAAAGCTGCTTTAAAATACCACCACCAAAGCCAGCCCGGCTCATTTTCCTGTGGGAAAATACATACTAGGGTATATGACTAAGTGCATCAACCTGACTTTCAACTCTCTTAACTAAAGGATAAAACTGTGGAGCAGAAAATCTAAAAATCTGTTTAGCTGGGGAATTCATTTTTTTTTCCTTCCCAGTATAACCTGCTTTGAAAATTATATTGTGGTTAACTGATACTAAGTTTAAATTTCTTGAGCACACAACTGGGTGAAAGGTGATCAGAAGACAGGTATGAGAAGGTGGGAGATGATTAAAATTGCTGAACAAACCAAAAATACCACCACCACACACACAAAAAAAATCAAAAACCATCCTGCTGGTAGCCCCGATACTTAAATGTCAGTGATCCCGGGCTGGCGCCGTTATTCACATGAATCTTAGAGGGTTAGCTCCTGCACAGGCAATCCCCCAAAGTCAGGGCATGGGAATTTGGGGCAGTGGGCTGCGGTGAAGCAGCAGAGAAAAGTCGTCTCAGGGCCCACACTTCATCCTTGTACCAGTGCATGGCGACTCCGCTGGTGGCTGGTGTTTCTCAGCGACAGTCACGTCGCCTGTGCCCAGGCTCTGCTGGACAGTGGAGAAGTGGCCAGCATTCTTTAAGAATCCTGTAGGGAACTGGCTTTTATGCTCTCTCTTAAGAATATCCTGTCACAGATCCCTCTCCTGCCACAGTCACCACGGTAGTCAGACCCCAGATGGAGGGACCTCCGTGCAGGTGTCCCTTCGGGAAGGCATGGGATTTATGACTTAGGGTCTCGCATGCTTAGGGAAACACAATTGCCTGAGGATCTGTACAGGGTTTTAAAAAAATCTACACTAGCCGTCACAGTGAGGAGTAAAGAGAAAGTTGAAATAATGAATTTAGATTTTCATGTATCTTTCATTTTTAACGATCCCTTATTTACAAATGGAGGCAAGACTTTTTTGCTTTACAAGAGTGTCTTTAAAGCTCTTGTCCCTTTTAAAGTTCACAACTTCAAGTTAAAATATTATATTCTCCTAGAACACCATATTTAAAGTATGCAGACAAGACCATTTTGGAAGTGTAAGGTGAAGGTAAAGAAGGGAAAGAAATTTGTAAAAACCTCCTCAGCCGTACTTCCTATTCTAGCCTCTTCTGCCACACTCCCAGCAGGTGCGGAAGAGAAAAAATACCATGTGGCAGAGTTTGCTTTAAAGCAATTTCCACTAAGGAGAAGAGACCAAAAGCAAGAAAGGAAAAGACATGCTCTCCCTCTTTGGACTGGCTCATTAACTGTTTTATAACTAGCTTGAATTTATTCTTAGCCTTAACTTCCTGAGACTCACTCTGCCTCACTGGCAGAGAAACAAGCCCATTCATCACGCACTCCCTTCCTCAGGAGACCCCCGATTCCACAGACCCAGCTGATCCTGCCGGGGGGTTCTGTCCTTACCCCGCCGCCGTCGCCTGCCAAGAGGCCAGCCAGCCAGGGGCAGGGCGTGGGGACGCCGAGCTACCTGCGACATGCCTGGGAAGACCCCGGCTGCCCCCCGCGACGAGGGCGGACTTGCTGCGGCAGGGGAGGAGTCAGAGACGGGCCCTGCTGACCCGGGCGGGCGCTCCGGGCAGGCTGTAGAGGGCAGCAGCCCCTGGTAACTGCGGGGAAGCACGCAGTGCGGGAGAAGCGCGTCTGAGGAGGTAAATTAAGAGACTCGCGAACCGCGGCGAGATCAAACAAGTTCGAGTCCGAGGAGGGGAGGAGATGCGGACCGCTGGCTTAGCCGTGCCGGGCTTCTCAACGGAAACAAACCAGGAGAACCCAGCCCGTGAAGAGCGGGACTGAGCCACTGGCTTCCTCTTCGGCTTCGTGGGCGCCCGCTCGAGGGTCCTCTGCCCCCCGGGCCGGGCGGGCACCTACCTTCCTTCTGGCTGCCCGCGGCGCTCTGCTGCTGCAGCAGGCTCTGGCTGTACAGCGTGGGCAGCGCCGCGGCCGCGTACTGCTGGATCCCTGAGTAGGCCTGCGTGAGGGCGTCCATGGTGCCCGCCGTGCCATTCGTCAAGCCCGTGGCGCCAAGTCCTCCATTCAGAGCCGCCATACCTGAGAGCATTTGAGCAACTTTACAAAAAACCCAACAATAGAGAAGAGAAATAGCACTTTTCATTAGTGCTTTCCGAAGGAAGTCAGAGAGTCATTTGACACAAGTACAACAGCAAGTGCATGCAGCCAGCACAGCGACAGCCCGACGCCACGTGAAGACGCGACTGCGACGTGACGGGTCGTCACAAGGTGAACACACAACAGGACCCGAGAAACCCCCTGCGCGGACGCCGCCCCTCCCGAGGCCGGCCAGCAGACGGCACGAGGCGCGACAGCGAGACGGCACACGGCGGATCCATGCACGCTGCTACTGGCAAGAACGCGCGTCCTTCTCAAAGGAAGGCCTCCCGGGGTCGTGCCCCTGCGTGGACGAGGACGTGCGGGACGGGCTGCGAACAGCCGGGCACCTCCGTCCGTGCTTGGGACGGCTCGGGGGTTGGCGGAGAAAGGGACAGAACCGCTCTCAGCAGGCGGATGAGCGGGTCCCGGAGGCAGCTCTGTCCCCAGTGAGCCCGTGCGCGGCCACTGCCCGGCCGGCCCTGAAACAGCTGAGGGATGGCGCCCGAGCCTAGGCCCTTCGGAAGCACGGTCCAGCCTGAAGCCGTGAAGGCGCGGGACGAAATGGGGACCGGACCCTTACTGCAGAGAACGGAGGCTGCTCCGGAGGAGAGGCTCCGAACAGAATGGGGCCAAGGGCAGCAGCAGCAGACACGTGCCACTGCCAGCCCGTGCCCCGGGTCGCGCGGCCACGACAGCGCTGCGACCGCGTGTTCCAGGTAACTGCAGCGATGCCCGGCTGTGGGCGGGCCCTCGGCCATTCTCGCAGGGGAGCTGCTGGCCAGCGCGCTTTGGTTTTTTTCCCGTCGCCTGGCTGCTCTCTGGCTCTAGAATGGTTGCTGACGGTGCCCCGAGTCGGGGTCGGAACAAGCAATACTTTACAGAGTGCGAACTTTCCTAGGAGCTCAACAAATGGAAGCGGGGACATCACTGCCTTCGGTTGCCTTTACGATCAAAACATTTCAAAAGAGAGATCCGTTTCTGGGAAGAACTCACTGAAAACATTAAGGAAACTGCTGAATGGATTAGGGCAACTGATTAGGGCTATTAAGATAGCAAAGATGACTAAGTGAAACACAAAACCCGGCCAGAAGCCTAACGAGGGTCGAGGAAGCAGATGAGCTCGCTTAGAAATGATCGGAGGACTCCAACCTCGGGTCACGTGGGCGCCCCTGTGTTCTCGAGCGCCAGCCCCAGACCACGGAGCGGGTGGGGGTTCTGCTTCCTCGCAGCGTCCCTCTGTCGCTCGGAGACCTCCCTCCCTCAGGTTGGAAGGACTGCATCCATACAAGAGGCCTAACAGCAGAGGAAACGCATCGGGCCTCAGGCCCGGTTTTCTTCCTGGGGGCTTGGGGGGACAGGAGCGGGCACTGGATGAAGTTACCCCGCGCGGCCTGGGGGTGACTGGCTAAAGGACGGGAGAATGGAAGGACGGGCCTCTTGAAAACCGAAATCCCTGCGGGCAGATCTAGCAGACACGCCATAAGCTGACGAGGTGCCGGCCGGCAGAGGTCCTGGGGACTCAGCTTCATGTTTCTTAGCTGCGAAGGAGTCTGCGCTCACCCCAATAAATGCTCTTAAAGAGCTTGACCCAGTGTGTCCTAATTAAACAGTCCCCCAGACACCAGCTAATCCCATTTACCCTGCTCAGGCCTCTCTCCTCCTCCATCCTGGTGTTCTTAGGGCTGCCGAAGGGTGGGGAGTAACTTCGCTTTTCTCCTTTCAGTCTTAGCCTCATCTCCCAGTATTTGTGTGAATGCAAAGAAACAGCCTTGTTTTTTTCTAGGAAGGGGAGGGGAGGGTGTACGCTGAGTCTGGAGAGCCCGGCACAGCTTAGTGCTGTTGGTTTCGTTACCGCCGGGCTGTGCACAGGTGCTGGGGACACAGACCAGCACGCCATGGGGCTCGGCGATGGGAAGCCGGATCCCTGTGCGGGAAGGAATTCTAGCGGGAGAGTGAGTGGGGACTTGCCACTCTACTTATATCCCACGGCGTGAGAGTCTAGGTGTGCATCGCAGCCTATGGAGCTGCTCGGGGCACAGCTGGAGATGGGCGCTCGGCCGCCAGCACAGAATGGAGCTCCATGTCTCTAGAACCTTGTCGGCTAAGGGCCTGGCTCTTTGCAGCCCCTGCCATGTAGGAGCCTCAGGAATGTGCCTCCCTGGGCTTTGCAGCTTCACTGGAGACCAGACGCATGGCTGGTGTTTCATTGAAGTGGTCACCGGGGCCCCTGACTCCCTCCCTCTCCAGTACTCCCCCCGCCCCCTTTTAAATCATCCAGGTCAGGTGAATTTTCTTTCCACCTTTTTAATTGAAAAAAAAAAAAAAAAATCTGCCTATCCGTGGAGCTGCCCAGTTCAAACCTGTGTTGTTCAAGGTCAATTCTATTTCCATGAACACTATTCACCAAGTACTGGTTATATTCTGACAGTCCTAATTTTAAGCACTATATGGTAAGCCATTTGGAAAAACGATGTGATTTGAACAAGGAAAAACAAGTACATCACCTGACCTGTATTTCAACACATAAAGTTAGATACGGACTCTTGAGTGGACATACCTGCAAAAAATATTTTGTCTTAGTTCAGATGTACAAAACATGTCTTAGATACAGAGCATGTCTGGGGAACCCTCAGATAATCCAGAACTGAAAGCTGTGTTAGGGAGTCACCCATACTCCTCACTTCTGATCTTGACAACTTTTGCTTTTGGCTTTAGGCTTCCACTCTACTTTTTTTAGCCCCTCCATTCATGAATATATAAGGGGAGAAATGGGATATCGAATTTGAGTTTAATTGAGTTGTCTTCTAGCTAAAACTTTATTTTGGGAGGAGGAGAGGGGCCCTTTGGCAGTGAAGAGCATAGTAACATTTACATAAAGATGAGCTAATTGAGAATTAATTGGATTCCATCTACCTACATTCTTCCTGGCTCCTTCGTCCATGGGAAAGAGATGGCTCTATTTGGACAACCAGAGATTTCTCTCAGTAGCGAGTCATTGTTCCCGGAATGGAGTAGGGTAGGAAACAGCAGTGATAGGGAAGCTGTGGCCAACTATTTTAGGAGCTGCCTCTGTTCTGGTGACCTCTCGAGTACCTTGAGAATCATCCAGTGGGACCGACAGCATGATTGTGTTCAGGCAGAACGGCCTGAAAGAGGATCCTCTATCTATTTCGGATTCCTCTTGGTAGTTGAGAAAATAAATACCAGCTCTGAGCCAGTGTTGGGCTTGTTAAACAGCTCTGTGCTAGTAACATTTACCAAATCAGAAGGAATGTCGTTTTGCTTGTGATTTTCGTAAATGAGCAATTAAACATTTTCCGGGTTCACACCCTCCCGTAGGGGCTATCTGAAATGAGACACCGTCTCCATTTCCCGTCAGCTCTCCGTACTTACTGTGCCCCAATCGCAAACAATTTAGAAAACAAAATTTAAGCCTGTTGTCCTTGCCAGAAGCAAAACTGGTGTGATGTAGAGCCCACGCAAGAACTAGTCCTGGTTTCTCGGCCTTTCAACAGAGCCCCTCTCTAGTCCCTCATGGCACCGATGGGAAACACCAGCAAAGCACCAGAGACTGGGATGGAGAGAGACAGGACCACACAGACAGGAGGACAGCACACAGCAGTCATGAGCACGTGCTGAGGAGGACAGCCATTCCCACTGGCCTGTTACTTTGCAGACCAAGGACAGGACAGGCAGGCGATCAAATCAAAGTCCTTGTTTTAGGGGAACTAGGTCCTGGGGCAAGAGAAGCAGCATGAAGGGATGTGGGCAAACACACTTGTCTGCAACCGAGGGGAAGGAAGTGGGTTGGAGCGTCTGCAGAACAAGGTCAGAAACAGGAGTCAAGGCAGTGAGGGCTCCTCCTGGGCCGTTGGAAACTGGGGAGCTGGAGGCAGTTTTACTGGAATAAAACATTCTGTTGTCACATGGTTCCCACTTCATGTACTATTTGCTAATCAAGACTGTCCCATCTGGAAGGAATAATCTTTTTCTTTTTTTTTGGCCTACGGTCTGATAAAACTCAATCCCACTTTCTGTTTTTCCCAGAGCATCTGAATAAAAGAGTTTAATAAAACTTGAAAATTTGTTAAGTTCTAGATTTTTTTTTCAATAAACTACAAGGCATTCTTCTTGAGATTTTAAAGTATACTCATTGGGATTTTTTTGTTTTTAAGAAAGTGTACTATCTGATCACTTCTTAAAAACTGTTCCCTGCTTGGATCATGGCTGAAACCAACTTGCCAAGGACCCCTTTCTGAAAGCTGAAAGCGGGCAGCCATTGGGTTGCCCGGGCTGCATGGTAAGTCACTGGGCCCCCAAATCAGAATCTCTTCGGGCTCTCCTAGGCTGGGCTACTCCCGACTCAGGATTGAACTGAGGGAAAGGCAAAAGTCCCTCTCTGTGGGCAGAGGATCACTTTCCCCCACTGTAGGAGCCAGTGCCAAGCACAAGGCTAAATGAGGACTTATTCTCTGTCTGGGGCCTATTCCGACCCACCCCCCAAACCCTCCTCTAAGATCCCAAATGGCAGAAATGGGCAAGCTGTGCAGGACAGAACCTGGAGTTCCTCACTGAGTCTCTAGCTTTCAGGCTGAAGGGATTCTGTACGTCAGCTGCCCGGCTCTGCCATGCTATGGTGACATTCTCTTCAGAGAGGGAGGTGCTGAGGAGGGAGTCCTGTCTGGGGGTGTGGCCGGCGGGGCTCCACACTCCGCTCTATTTCCTTCTTTCCAGGGCCTCGTTTTTCCTTCTCTATATATGTCATAGATCTTTAGAGCAAGAGGACACCAAGGAGATCATCTAATCCAGAACTTTCAGTTGTCAAGTGGGACTCTGAAACCTGGGGTGGGTGGGCGGGTGTTTGCTCAGGAGTTTTGCAGTTTTGAGAACTGGACCCATGCGTCCTGACTTCTAGTTCATTTTTCTAATAAAACACACTGCCTCTCAGAAGAAGAGACCACAGCAAAACCCAGACCACCCTGCTGTGAAACCTGCACCTCTCTGTCAGCCCCAGGCGCCTATGGATGGATCCACACTGGGAGACCAGGCGGGGAGGGGGGCTGGTTTTGGAGGCAAAGTGAGCACAGTCAGCATTTGCCTGGAACGGCATGCGCTCCTCCATCCCAAATTTTAGTTCTCCCCGTTCCCTCTCCTTTGCAGGTCATTACTGGCTGACCATTTGCTGGGGAGAATTTGGGGGAAGGCTGTCCACCAGAGCAGCAAATACTCACTGTTTATGGTACCTGCTAGTGCATTAATATTATTCAGTCCGACAGTGGCTCCCGCCAGTCCTTGCAGAGTCCCAAGAGAGGTCAGAGAATTCATGGCTGCACCAGCAGTGGAGTTGGGGGTTGAAGCCGCCACTGGAACACAACACAAGACAGGGAAACGGGGAGAGAAAGCACAAGGTGAGTGAAAGCCAGCCGGCCTGGAAGGTAATCGCCCTCACCGTCGCGGACGGAGCCCTGCCATGAAAGACGTGCGGCACCGCGCTTGTGGCGGCTCCGACCGTGAGGTTTGGTGACTACAAGAGGCCGTCACAGCTCTGGCCCGTCGGTGGGTGTGCTCCACGCTTGTGGGCCGGGTGAGTCTGCGAGGGGGCGGCTGTCTCCTGGGGCAAGGCTCATTAGCTGCAGGAGGAGCCTCCGTCCTCCAGGCTGGGGACTTACCCAGGTTCACCAGGGACCAGCACATGGGGTGGGGGCACGGGGGGTTGGTAAGTGACCCTTCTTGGCTTTCTCACTCTTTTTGCTTCGGACTCCGCTTTTTCCTTCCTCAGTGAAATTTCGGGGGAAAAAAAAAAATCCTACATCTTCCTGAGTTGGAGAGAAGACTTTAGGGCCCAGGTGGTGGTGGTGACAGGGTGAGGAGGGGTAGGAGACGAAACCACTTTGCCCCAAACTGTCTCTCTCTTAACTACCCACCCTCCCCCCACCTTTTAGGTTAGCAGACTTATTTATCCTGTTCCAGTGCACAGTTCATGGGTTTTTATCTGTCCGCAGGGTTACGTGGCCACCGCCACCACCTAGCAGAATATTCTTACCCCCAGAGAAACCCAACCCCCTTAGCACGCATTTCCCATTCCCCCCTGCTGACACGGACCCCCACTCGTCTCTCCTGGTCTCTGGGTTTGCTTCGCCTGGATAACTTCACATAATGGGAATCCTATGAATCGTGATCTCTTCCGACTGCTTCCTTGATAGCAGAACGTTCCCAAGGTCCGGCCGCAGGGCGCGGAGCTCCAGCCCCGTTCTGACTGCCGAGTAACGCTCCGCTGCACAGAAACGCGGTTACCGGCTGACCCGCTCACCGGGCGGGTCGTTGCACGTGTCGACTCTGGGTCCGTGTGAGCGATGACGCTGGGAGCACCCGCCAACGAGCGGTCCTGTAGCCGTATGTTTTCTCCTGAGTGTATCTGGCTCTTTATCTCTACACACACCCAGGAGGGGGAGTGCGGGGCCATAGGATGAAGTTAATGCTTGACCTTTTGAGGAATTGCCAGACTGTTCTCTGGAGCAGCTGCACTCCCTGTCCGTGCTACACTTACAGTGGCTTCTGCAAATAGTATTTCAAGTATCTTACGTTGGTGTACAGTTGTTTGCTTTACACTCTGCTTTTTCCACGGATATCACTTCCCTTCATCCTGACGATGGAGGGTAAAAGCTAAACTGAACTTCAGCCGGTGCTAAAAGCAGCACCTGGTCCATTTCTGGCTGTGAAATCTAGGATGGCCCGGAACTTTATCCATCCTTCTGGAATGTTCCGGCTCAGTTGGAGCTCATCCTTGTTCTGCCTTCAGAAGCCACATACAGAGCATTGCTTGAAATGCACCCTGCTTGGGATCCCTTCTGGATGAGGCCAGATCAAATGCCTAAAAAATGAATTCCCCGCCTTGTCACATTTCCGTCCACACATGGCATTAGCTTCTGACACCTCATAATGTGTTTTCTTTCTTTTTATTAAAAAGAAAATGATATATAATCCAATGTTTTCATCCTTTTGTATTAGAAAACATTTCAAAAACACACATGAGAGACAATAACATGACAGGCTCCTGTAAACTCGGGTCTATACTCTACAATATCTGAGAAGCAACTTCCTCTATTTTAAGGCATAATTTCACACCGTATGTCGTCTCACCTCTATATACTTCAGTACGCAACTCTAAGAATTGTGGATGTTGTCTTTAAAGTCTCCAAACCATTATTACACCCCACAAAAAGAACAGTGGCTCCTTGGCTTTACTATGTGATAATATCTTGTTTAGGATTTTTTCACCTATGAACATGAATAAGATGGGCATTTATTTTCTCTTCTTGTGCTGTCTTTAGTTGTGCTAATAAGCTTTTGCTAACCTCATAAAATGACTCAGAGAGTGGCTTTATCTCTGCATTTTCTGGAATAAATTGTGCAAGTTTGATATTACTTATAACTTAAATGTCTGGGAAAATATGCCAGTAAAAATGATGTGGACTTGATATTTCTTCATGGGATGACTCTAAAATACAGATTACATTTCTTTAATAAATAGGATTATTCAACTGCTTTAACCAGTTTTATTAAGTCATAGCTTTCTAGGAACTTGTATACTTATCAGATTTATAGGCGCATAAAATTATTCATAATATGCTCTTAATAAAATTTTAAAATCAGGAACATTTACCTTTAAGTTTTTTTTTTTTGTTTTTTTTTTTTTTTGCTTTGCCTGAGCTGTCCGTTACTGAGAGAAGCCTGTGAAAATCTTCCACTATGGTAAAATCAGTTTCTCCAGGTAAATGTGGAAATGTTTTGGAATATACCTTGAAGCTAGCTTTGTTTCTACTTGCGTAGATGTTTGTAAATTATTCTATTTTCTGGTACAATAAACTTTGTGTGGTGATCTTCTTATTTCTACTTTTACCTTCAAATCTTTTGTATGATGTTAAAAAAAGAAAAGCACTGGATTTGGTTATTTGAATGTCTCTTTTGCTATGGTTTTGCTTTTTTCTGTCTGTATTTCAGCTGTATCTCTTATAATGAATATATACACAGGTTTCAAAAACTATAGCCTAACAATTTAATAGTCTTTCAGTATTTCAGCACACACATTTTAAGTGTGCAATATGTCCTGTCATTTTCCCTCTTCTTGCCTTCCTTTAGGACTATTATTATTACTCTGTGCACATTCCATTTTCTCCTCTACTACTCTGAAGGTAATATATACTATTTCTATTCTTTTATATGCTACTTTAACATTTTTAACAGTCCAATGTAACTTATAAAAATCAAAGGTAATCATTGTCTTTTTTCCTTTGCCAGAACATTTGTCAGAATGCATCTCCATCTGTGTATGTTTTTAGGACAACGTCTAGAGATTTTAAGTGGTCGACTTTTATAATTTTCACCAGTTATGGTGGTTTCACTGGGGAAGCCGTTCACAGATATCCTCATATTTCTGTTCTAGAAGTAGTTCCCCGGTGTCACCTAAAACTGTGTGAAAATTCTTCAGGCTTTTATTACCAGTTCAGAATCAGAACATGCATTACGGATAGCTTTTACTCCTCACTCTCTGGTACAACAGTCTGGTGAAGGCTGTCACATGTAGACTGACACCACCCCCACGTAAGTCTGGAACTCCAAAAGCTAAGACAAGCAATCTAGGATGAACAAGGAATACTCCCCCTTCGCAGACTATAGGGCAAACTGCTTGTTTCAAAACTCAGTGCTAAGTAGGATGAGGGCAATTTCTCTGATAATGTTTAACACTAATCAAGCCCTCACGTGGGTTTGCAACCCAACTTTATTTCATCTGAGTGGTCCAAAGCTCAATGTCTAGAACTTAGTGTGATCCCAGCCTTATACTTCTAGCATCTTCAGAATCAAATATAACTCATCCTTGAAAGGACCTATTTTCACCCCCAAAGAATTCCCAGAAATAAAGTCCAAGATAGTTAAGCTGACAGTAAAAAAGCAAAAAACAAAAAACCAAAAAACCAAAATATACAACTAAACCAAGTACCAAGAATAAGCAGGAGTAGACACAGAGTTAGATACCTTATTTAGCTCTACCAAGATTTCAGATATTGGATTTGTTAGCACACAATAGGAAGTGCATTAAAATGTTTGCAAAAACTTAAAAGGTTCTGAAAAGTGAAAAAAGCAGGTTATTATAAAAAATGATCAAGTACACTGATAACTAAATGAAAATCCCAGAGGGGCACCTGGGTGGCTCAGTTGGTTGTCTGATTCTTGGTTTCAGCTCAGGTCATGATCTCAGGGTCGTGAGATCAAGCCCTGTGTCAGGCTTAGTGCTTAGTGCAGAGTCTACTTGAGATTCTCTCCATCTTCTCTTCCATCCACCCCTCCCCCTGCTCATGTTCTTTCTCTAAAATGAAATCTTAAAAATGTCCTAGAAATGAAAAGTATAATAAAATATAAAATTCATTGGATACATAGGTTTAATAGTATATTAGATACAGTAGAAGAGAGAATTTAGGGAGCTTGAAGACAGTTTTGAGGAGTTATATGTAACTGAGAAATTGAGCCAACGTGAGATGTTAAAATACTGCACAAGATATCTAACATGGCTAGGTGAAATTCAGGAGGAAAAGAGAAAAATGGGGAGAAGGCAGTATGGGAAGAGTTAATGACTGAGAATTTTCCAAAACTGGTAAGGCGCCCTGCCCCTCTCCAAAATCCATACGCATAGGGATTCTAATGAATTCTATTCAGGAAAAATAAAAACACATAATTAGATGCACCATGGCAAAAAAAAAAAAAAAAAAAAAAACCAAACCAAACAAACAAAAATGTAGAACACCAAAGGAGAAGATCTTAACAACCAGCCAGAAAAAATGCCTTCAATGTCACTGAGGTGACAGACACCTCGCTCCCTGGCATCTCAGCAGTAATGATGTAAGACAGGCTAGAGGTGCGGAGAGAAACTAACTGTCCACTTAGAATATCCAACAAAAATATACTTCAAAAATTAGGACAAAATAAAAAAGTGATTGTCATGTAAAAGCTCAGACTTTTTTTTTTTTTTTTTTTTTTTGTAACCAATAGACCTCACTAAACGGGGTTCGGTTGCTATGCTTCAGACTGAAGGAGAGACATTCCTTGATGAACAAAAACTGAAGGAATTTGTTGCCAGCAGTCCCTGTGTTACAAGAAATACTAACGTTATTCAGGCTGAAATCAGTACCCCCAAAATAATATAAACACACACACACACACAGAACACCAAGAAAGGTAATTATGTAGTTACTTAGAAAAGACAGTAAAATTGCATTTTTCTTTTCTTCTCTTAATTGACTGAAAAATCAACTGCTGAAAGCAGCGTGTATATAATTGTGCTTTTGGTCCTCTACCATCTAGAAATACA